AATTATGCTTTCCTATCTCTGTCCTGTTAAACCACCGTCGGAGCCATGATGGATGAGAATGGAGTGTGCCGTGAGAGGGTGAGCTCTCTGGTCCTCGCATAGCCAAGGAGAGAGAGCAGGCTTCTGGGACCCCTGTGGGTCTGTACAGCTGATCAGTTCTGTGTTTCTAAACTTTCAGGTTTACTGTCCCCAGATATTTAGTATAAATAACCAGACTTTTAATTACAGCACCCAATATACTTTTTAAAGAGAATGTATGAAGATATAAAGTTAAAAAATTAAAATAATTTCCATTAGAAACCTGACACTATCCGTAATAATGTTGAGTTTTTCATGATTTTATTAAAATATATAAAAATATTCTGAAAAACAACAAAGCATTTTGCACATAGTAATTTGGTAAGCACTCGTGGCTGGATTTCTTTGCATGGCACAGAAGTGGAAAGTCTCAGAGGTTCCTAGGAAATAAGGCGGTTAAGTAAACCTTAGGAGCTCTGGTGCTGTTGTGCTTAAGGCATGTGACTGCTATCCAGAAGGCTGGTGGATCAAACCCACCAGCCACTCCTCGGAAGGAAGGTTGGGCAATCTACTTCCGTAGAGATACCGCCTCGGAAACCCAAGGAGGGGTTGCTGTGAGTCGCATCTGACTCATTGGCAGTGTGTTTGGTTTTGGTTTAAGTAAAACCCTATTTAAGCTCATCTGTTTTTCCTTAAAACCAGTCACTTGTTCATCACAATATTTTATTCATTAAGAGTTAATCTTTCAAAATCATGGCCTGGGAGAGTGTGGGTCTGTGTGTATGTCTTCAGATACCTTTTGGGTATACATCCTTCGCTTCTTCCTGTAACATGTGGAGACTGGTTTTCTGAAAACTCCAGATCGCTTGGAGGTTCATTTGTCTGAGGGCTGTGTTTGAAAGCATCAAATTGTGTTGCCATAAGCACAATTATTACATGTCCCTGGCCATGTTTTCCTTACCTTCAATGCTCAGCTTGCCCTCGCTCTCTGTGCCCCTTTCTTTCTGTTTTTGCCCTCCTCATCTTTCTCTCTCTGTCTCTCCCCACTTCATCTCCTTTGTCCCTTACCCCCCTTTTCTCCTGCCTCTCCCCCACCTCTGACACTTCCCCCACTCTAGGCCTCCTACTCTCTTTCCTTCTCCCCCGTTCAGTTTTTATTCCCACCTTCTTAGGGGTAATGCTGACCAATAAGCATTCCCTAGGTAAGTATATCTTCTATTAATAAGAGTAATTAATCATTTTCATATAAATGGAGATTGTGTATTTCGAAATCTGAATCCCTGACAGTTATCAAAGAGCAATGGGCTTTCTCTTTCTCGGTAAAGGGGACTGTTGTTTATGGTATCTCTGGCGGTAGCACTAGCAGTGGTAGTGATAATGATAAAAGTATTGATGTTTGATTATTCTTCTTGTGGCTCACGTTTACTGACTATTTGCCGCAGGTCAGGGACTGTTCTACGTCAGTGGTTTTTCAGAGCGTGGTCCATGGTCCCTTGGGCTTCCTAAGATTCTTTGAGGAGTCTGTGAGATCAAAACTATTTTTACAATAACACTACAATGTTATTTTCCTTTTTCACTGTGTTGATACTTGTACTGATAATGCAAAAGCAATGGTGTATAAGACTGCTGACCCCTTAGCCCATGTCAAGGCTACAAGGCTAAGAGCCATTGTATTCTTCACTGCCTGCATTCACAATGTCTGCTTGGGGGGCAGTTTTATTTTAGAATGTCCCTGATGAAGTAACAAAGGACTTGTTTTCATTTTTTTTTCTTTTTTTCATGAGTATGGGGCTTATTAGGAAAATAACAGGTGACACAATTCAGGTTCAGGATGCTCTCGGGATACAGTTCTTGGATCAGGATAATCTCCCCTCTGCTGTGCCCTCAGGCATGCCTCTCTGGCCCTTGGCTTCTCAGCCTGGCTTCTGCCCTGCTCCAACAAGTGTTACAAAGCTCCTTTAGCTCTGCTGATAGGTACATCTAGGCACACCCCACTCCACCAACAAGCCTCCTGCCCAGAAGCACTGAGCTTTCTCCCTCCGCAGACTAGTGCCACTCTGTCGGGTGCCTCTTGGTTCCACTGCCACAGTCCCTCTGCCAGGCATCTCTGCCTCTCAGCCAAGGAGGTCCAGCTCAGGGATCTCAGTTCGAAGGACACGCTCCACTCCAACTCCAGCTCTTCTCTCTTGATGGCAGTTAGAACCCTGGGTCTTGTTTTCTGGACACATTAGAAGTTATTAATTTTATTAATCTCGACCATTGAGTACAGGTCCTTTTAATGTTTGGTGTGACAAAATGGGGAGTATGCATAAAGTAGTTCTGTATACCAGATAGGTTTGAGTTGCCAGCTGAACTGGTCACTGTTTCATAGGCCATGGTTTTTGTTTGGAAGAATGCCTGGCAGGTAAACCATGGCTGTTCTGACATGGGTGTTTGGCAGAAATCTTCTTAAAAACGGATGGAGCCAGCCTGTAATTTCAAGGAGAACACCTGCCTAGCTATCGATCCAGTGGCCAACACTGATAGCTTTTCTTTAGGGGCCAGGAGCTCCCAGGGGCCATCTCAATGCTAAGCCACATGAACTCTTTTATATCTAATTTACAAATGCCATCTAGCATCAGAGAAAATAGTGCTTTTAGCAGCAATGAATTTTAGAATGTTTGTTGTTGTTATGTGCCTTCGAGTCACCACGACTCATAGCGACCCCTCCTTGGGTTTCCAAGGCATTATCACTACGGGAGTAGGTTGCCCCACCTTCCTTACAAGGAGTGCCTAGTGGGTAGCAAAGCTCAAAAATATTTTCCAAGGCTTACCTACTACCAAACCAAAAGCCACTGCCATCAAGTCGATTCTGACTCACAATGACCCTAGATGACAGGGTAGAACTCCTGCCATAGGGTTTCCAAGGCTGTAAATCTTATGGAAGCTGAATGCTTTAACCACTGTACCACCAGAGCTCCTTTTCCTACTACAGAACCACTTATTTTATAGATAGGAAAAATTGAGCCTGAATTTTAAGAGCCATGTCCTCAGTAATGCTCTGCAAATGCATGATTTATGGGCTAATCTTATATTTCATGGTACTATATCTTAAATGTCCAAATATTTTTCATGTGCACTTTTCCATCTGATCCTCAGCAACACTATGAGTATATAAAACAGTTTAAAGATTAGGAAATTGAGACTCAAAGAAGGTAATTCTCTGCATGCACTTTATGTTTTCCTGCCCTTTCAGCTATTATCTCTGAGGCCCTGAAATAAAGGCAATGCAAATAGAAAAGAGCTAGAGTCTATGCAACTTGGTATGACTTAATGTTACCAAAGCTGCCATAACAAAAATACCAAGAGTAATTGGCTTTAAAGAACACAAATATTTTGTCTCATAGTTTTGGAGGCTGGGCATCTGAACTCAGGGCATTGGCTCATAGGGGAGGGGCCTTTCTTCTCAGGAGCCACCAGAGGTCCTTGACATTCCTTGGCTTAGAGATAGATACATCAGTCTCCCTCTTCTGTCTCTGCGTGTGTCTATCCTGTTCGTTTTATATGACACCACTTAGAAGTGATTAGATTTAGGGCCACCTTACTCTACTATGGTCTCATGACCATAACAAAAGACCTTTTTCCAAAGAGGGTCCTATTTAAAGGTACAGGGGTTAGGATTTCAATACATATATAGGGGGAGGAGGGCACAATTCAATCCAAAACACTTGGCAACTAAGTAGATGCAAAACAGTGAACGAAATTGAGGAGCCAGGGAATTTTTGGAATGGCACCCTGGGAGGGTACCATTAGATGAAAAAAAAAAAAATGGAGAAGGAATAGATTCAGTCAACAAATGTTTACTGGATACCTTTTCATTGGCACGGTTGCAGTCTGCTTTGGAAGATTCTTAGGCTGTACACACCCTGTGCCTTTGCAGAGTAATCAGGAAGATAAGGCCTATATGCCAGTAAGGATATCCAAGGCAAATGTGGTAAGTGCCTTAGGAAAGACTTGGTTCAAGTCCTATAGTTGCTCAGATGTAGGAAGGAATTACTTGGGGGTTCAGGAAAAAAATTCCAGAAGTGTTTGAAAGGGGTCTTGCAAAATGGTAGACTTTAAATGTGCAGGTGGTTGTGCAGAGACCAGGAGAGTTCAGTTAAAGGAAAGGTGAGAGCAGTACAGAAGGAGAATGATCAAGACTAGAGGTTCGTAAGAATATAGTAGGGGTGTAGACACATAATAAGAAATGATTACTATTGGTAATTGTTATTCCAATAAGTTATTGGAAACATTGGCCACTAAGCCTGAAAAGACTAACTACCATAATGCCGCATACATAGCCAGTTTTCCATTTTGCTTTTAGTTCACTTTTTCAAATGAGGCTTGCCAAACAAATGTCTTTTTAGATACAGCCTAGTCCTTTCTTTGCAGATAAAATGTCTTCAGTTTTGATTGATTAGGGTAAGGATTTCAAGTTCAGATGAAATGATTCATCTTTTCAGATGTTGTTTTATAGTTAGAGAGAACGGTTGTGCCAAATATTTTATCATAGTCTTGTTTTTTGAATCTGCACCGGCTTACGTAAAACCAACCCTGTAGTCTTTACATAACTTCATCATCTTCACACTCAGAAATTCCTTTAGTCCCTTAAACTACATTTTTATCTGAATTCCATCTTTATCCTCAGATAGCTTAGTTTTGTTTTTTGGATCTTTCTTCTCCTTTGGCATTCCAAAAACAAACAAACAAAAAGAAAAGCTCACTGCCCTCAAGATATTTCTAACTCATAGATAGCGAACAGTCCTTGGGTTTCCAAGAGGTATCTCTAAGAAAGTAGATTGCCCAGTCTTCCTTTCGAGGAGTGGCTGGTGGGTATGAACCAACAGCCTTCTGGTTAGCAATCATATGCCTTAGATACTATGCCACCAGAGCTTCCATTAGTGTTTGTGATCCATTACATAATTAATCTGACTTGGGTATTTATTATTGTCTTTCCCTAGATAAGTTAGATAAATATGATCCACGTGACATTGAAAAACTACAGCAAGATGATAACTGGGTTGAAAGTTACTTATGTTGGCGACATAACGTCATAGAGGAGACGCTGAAGATGCTTGATGAGAGTTTTCAGTGGAGGAAAGAATTTACTGTCAATGGTAAGCTATTCCATTTAGCAGTGACAGAATATTATTGCCTGCCTAAATGTTAACTGTTTTATATCCATCTTTTATGTTTATCTGAGTGTCTATTTGCAGATCTTCTTGGCAGTCATTATAAATAACAATATAATTTTCATAAAGATCACATAACAATTTCAAAGGAGCTTCTGATTAGTAAGTCTTACAAATAAGATCATTCATCAGGAACTCATATCACCAGGGAGCAGAATCACACTCAGATTCTTCATTCAGCAGTCTCTTAATCTGTGTTTGGATAGTTCGGGTCCATTAAACAATACCAAGACAACATCTTAGTGGAGTTGGCCCCTGACTCCTGGTGACCCCGTACACAATGGAATGAAACTCTCCCCGGCCCTGTGCCATCCCGATTGGTTGCATATTGGACCATTGTGAGCCATGGGGTTTTCATTGGCTGATTTTCTGAAGTAGCTCGCCAGGCCTTTCTTCCTAGTCTGTCTTAGTGTGGAAGCTCCAATGAAACATGTTCAACATCCTAGCACCTTGCAAGCCTCTGTGCTTAAGGAGCAGTGGCCAGGGATCAAACCTGAATCTCTCACATGTAAGGCAAGAAATTTCCCTACAGGGAAGTGGAGAATTTTACTGAGCCAATATGCCCCATAGGCGTTTTCCAGGCCACCACTAGATTGAAATTTTTCTCACGTTTCATCAGGGCTTAATTAGTGATCCTTGACTACCTCTTTCTTTAATCTCATTACTTTTCAAAAATAGGAGTTCTAAATCTTAGAGGGAGTTTCATGATAGCCTGTAAGTATAAGAACTCTTAATGGAAAAGGTTACCTATTACCTCTCTAGTCCTAAATATGTAATAAGGAGAGACTGTCGTAAGTACTGCTGTATATTAGGTCTAAAGGATCCCCTGCCCCTGTAGTGATAAACTCTGCACCGACTGAGTCTGGTGACTTAATACAAAATAGTCAACAAATAAATCGAGAGCAAACACTGTGCCCAGTCTTCCTTGAGACAAGGAGTATTTAAGAACTAATTTGATTAGAAATATAAAAACTGTAGGTAATTCCAAAAAACAGGGAAGCATTTGTTAATCAAGCAAAGCAGTAGAAATCTAACATTCCTAAATCATTTAATTACAGAATAAACCTTTAATCACCACAGTAATATTTTCCTTACATATAAGTGCTGGTTTCTTTGGGGAAGCAATGACTATATAATGAAAGAGGGATGGAGAAGCAAAAAGACAATTTTAAAGTTCTTGGAGAACTATTAGGGAACAAAACCAACGCCTTAGCATTTTAGCATTTGCTGACATGCTGTATGTTGGTCCTTGACCTCATTAGAGACTAGGCAGGCCCTTTCTTGTTCTTCCTGCTGAGGGATCTAGCATTTTTCTTGACTTATTTTCTACTTGCCTCAGGGTCATAAAATGCCTCAGATTCTACTGAACATTGAACTTTGTTAAAAAAATATTTTTTTTTCCAGTGGAGAAATTAGTAGAGAAAACACCATATTGTTGTTGTCTTGTTTTGACATTCTGAAGCTATAATATGGGTATCGACGGATGTGTTAATGTTGAAGGTCCGAAAATAATAATATCCATTTGTAAGCCATTGTGTGAAACACAATCAAAATTTGATTACTGAAATGTGTCCACACCAAATAATGGCTTATGTGGTGAGGGAAATAGATTTTTTTTTTTCCATTTCTTTTACTTACGTGTTTATGTAGTTCGTTTATATGGTAAGAAAGGCCATTTCTTAGTGCCAAGGGTTCTTAACAGATATTGAATAAGCTACTTTTTTTAGCATCAAAACTACTAAGTAACATTACCTTACTATTACCCTAAGTTACAATTTCTGATCAAAGTTTATCACTTTTTAGACCTGAATGAATCTTCCATTCCCAGAAGGTTATTGGAAATTGGTGGGATTTATCTGCACGGTTATGACAAAGAAGGGAACAAACTGTGTAAGTGTATTTAATTTACATACTGGCTTTTCAGGATTTTGAGATGTAGTTATCTAAGGCAACTGGATTAATAATAAGCAGAATTTTCTTTCTTCAAATGTAGTACACATCAAGTTTCCTACCGTTGGGGAGCATTAGAATCATCTTGACCAAGTATCAAATCTCTGTTGTATGAACTGTTTACATTATAGTTAGGAAAGCAGTGAAGGCAAGTGCTACATCCTGTAGCACAATGAACTGTTTGAGAGCAAAATCATGATCTCCTTTCTAATCTGACTGATGTTAAAATTCAACCCAGTATTTTTTATGGAAAATCATTTGAGCTGTTTCTAAAGGGAGTTTTTTTTTTTTCCTTTGTAGGTTTCCCACAGTCCTCTCCCCTTGGCTTCTTCCTCAATTGGTATAATAGTGGGAGGAGCAGTAACACATGTCTGTTGGTCAGACAAGCCCCTTCTTACTCTTCAGTCATCTCCTTCCCCAAAGTCCAACTTGGTTTTGTACAAAAGAGTAGGCAAGAGCGTTAGAGGCCCACACTGAGGAATCAGGACCAGTCCATTTGGTGCACATTCCGCACTCTTCTTCCTTCCCCTCTGCATAGCATGTGACTTATTCCTGTTTGACAGTAATTCTTCTCTTTACATTTCCCTCTTGTCCCTGGCTCCTCCTTCTCAACCTCATCTTCTCATTCCTCCTATTCCACCTTGAATGTGTATTTCCCAGGGTTCATTCCTTTACTTGGCCTCTTTTATTCTCCATTTGGCATAGTCACCTTGGGTGATGCACCATGATGACCCCACACTACCTCCATGGATGTATGGTCGTGTGCATATATCCAGCTACCTAGTGACTGCCCACCTCCTCCTACCCAACACAAGTGGACATATACCACCTGACCACTCTCTGCAGTTCCCAGCTCAGATACACTATAGACAGATACCAGGGCTCATCATTGCTTCTTCCCAATAACATAGCCTAAATTTAGCCCTGTCTCCATTTTCACCAGCCACTTCCTTAGTTCAGTCCCTAGTCTCCTCATGTCTCCCTCCTACTACCCTTTCTCAGGTAGTGGTTGGGTCTCCTTAACCTCTTCCAAGATACCCCCTAAGCCACTGCCAGGGAAATCTTTTAAAAATACTGATCTAGTCATGCCAATCTACAGCCTAAAATCATGAAGTGCCATTGCATCTCTTTTTGGAAAATCAAAACACCTTAGCATTTCATTGAGAGTCCTTCATGCCCAGCCCTTTCTCTCTCTTTAGCATCTCCTCTCACCACTCTTCCTATTCAGTCTCAGCTGCCATCACACTGGGCGGTTTGCCATTCCCCACCCACATGCACAACCCAGCTAAGCCCTAGCTCTTGCCTTCTCTCTGGGGGGAACATTAGTGCTACTGCTTGATGATAACAATGGCTTTCTTGTTCTACAAGCAGAATAAAGAAGACTTTTAGGTACTAGCAAATACTGTGTGTTCAATTGTATTTTCTTTTTCCCTTACTTGTAATATTTGTATATTTCCTATGGAAAAAAAATAGTTTACCTTTTCACTGCTCTTTAATTTAAGGTTTCCATGTGCACAGTATTTTTCATTTAAAAGAAAGAATAGAGGTTTTTAATCTGAGAAGTAAAATATAAATGAAGAAAAATGTCAAGGGAAAAGGAATTATATATATATGTATACCATATTTTTCACAAATTATATGCACCTTCTACATCTGTTTGCCAACTGCATCCTCCTCCCATGAGGCATTTTCATAAGCACCACTACCCGGACTTTTTGTACATGTTGCTGTTAAAAAAAAGAAACATGCGTAGGCGCTTACCTAGTGGGGAGTGGGGGGACATGATTGGTACACAAAAGTAGAAGGTGATTTATGTAACAAATATGGTATTGTAAGGAGCCCTGGTGGTACAGTGGTTAAATGCTCAGCTGCTAACCAAAAGGTTGGCGGTTCAAACCCACTAGACACTCCACAGAGAAAGATGGGGCAGTTCTACTCTGTCCTGTAAGGTCATTATGAGTCAGAATCAACTCAATGGTAGTGGATTTGGATTTTTTTGGTTTATATACATATGTGTGCATGTGTGTGTGTGTGTGTGTGTGTGTACATACATACCCGACTCATAGCGACCCCTCCTTGGGTTTCTGAGGCAATATCACTATGGAAGTAGATTGCCCAACCTTCCTTCCAAGGAGTGGCTGGTGGTTTGAACCACCAGCCTTCTGGTTAGCAGTCAAATG